TGCTTAGAATAAACGCAGTTACAACGAACATTTTTTTTTTTGGTTTGACTGAACTTAGAATATGGGTCTAAGTTGCCTATGTACCCTCCTCAAAGGGATCAAGTCATAACGTAGTTCAAGCGAACAACTTAGAACAATATTTTTTTTTTGGTTTGACTGAACTTAGAATATGGTCTAAGTTGCCTACGTACCCTCCTCAAAAGGGATCAAGTCATAACGTAGTTCAAGCGAAATACTTAGAACATTCTTTTTTTTTTTTTTTGGTTTGACTGAAATTAGAATATGGGTCTAAGCTGCCTACGTACCCTCCTCAAAGGGATCAAGTCATAACGTAGTTCAAACGAACATGCAACATCAATTCACCATGTTCCTTTCCTCGAAGGTAGATGTTTCTGGGTAGTAACGCTTCAAGAATTTGCCATTTATGGGGCCAATTCGTAATCCATCATTGTCCACCAACTTATAAGCGCCGCTTGTGTAAGCTTCCTTCACTACATAAGGGTCGTCCCATTTCGACACGAATTTGTTCCCTATTCGTTGGGTGAGGGTAATTGGCCTTCTTACTGCCAGAACCAAATCTCCAACTTGAAATGATCGAGGACGAACATTTTTATTGAATGCTTTAGACATGCGGGCTTGATAGCATTCAAGTTGTTACTGAGCTTCTAATCTCTTCTCATCTAGTGCCTCCAGCTCCTCAAGTCTAAGACGAGCATTATCTTTGGCGGTTAGTCCTTCTTGTATAGCAATACGAAGCGAATGTATTTGACTTTCGAGTGGGAGGATAGCTTCTACCCCATATACCAAGGAATACGGAGTGGCTTGAGTGGCAGTCCGATACGTCGTCCTATACGCCCATAAAGCTTCCCCGGCCCTCTCGTGCCAATCTTTCTTTGACTTTGAGACCACTTTGTTCAAAAGATTGCACAAAGTTTTGTTGAACGCCTCTGCTAGACCATTCGCAGCCGCATTATACATTGAGGAGTTGTGTTGCTTAAACCCAAATTGCACACATAATTTATCCATCAACTTGTTGTAAAATGGTTTTCCATTATCAGTAATGATGTATCGAGGTATTCCATACCTAAAGATAAGATGTGAATGAATGAACTCGACCACTGTTTTCTTCTTCACTTCCTTCAAAGGAACAGCCTCCGCCCATTTGGAGAAGTAGTCAGTAGCTGCCAATATATAAGCGTGACCTTCGGACGACTTAGGAAAAATAGGTCCCACGACCTCAAGACCCCACGAATCAAATTGCCATGAGGCGACTGTAGGATACACGGGCTCCGGAGGTTGGTGTATGAAGTTCGCATGTAATTGACAAGCTTCACATCTTCTTGCATAATCCAAGCAATCTTTGACCATCGTAGGCCAATAATAGCCCATTCTTTTAATTTGAAAGTGTAGCTTCGGACCGGATTGATGAGCACCACAAATCCCGGAATGTGCTTCCATAATTGCTTCAGTCGTCTCTTCACCATACAAACAACGCTGGTAATTGCCTTCAAAAGACCGACGATAAAGCATATCCTTGTAAATAATGAAACGAGGCGCCCTTTTTCTTACTTTCGTCTTATGACGAACTTTCCCGGGTAATTCTCCATTTCTCAAGTAATTGATCAATGGTATTCTCCAATATTGATCATCATTGATTGAAATTGATGTAGTATTAGCGTCTTCATGACTAACTTCAACGAATGATGGTACAATCCAACGATTACACACGGGAACACTTGTTGTCTCTCATTCCGCCAAAGTTAAAATGGTTGCTAGATTAGCTAGCGCATCGGCCATTCTATTATTTTTCCTCATAATGTGATTTAACACGACCTTTTCAAACTTCGCCACCAAGTCTGAAGCGTGTTGACATAAAAGAATAAGGTCATCTTTCCTAACCTCGTATACATTCAAAAGTTGGTTGGTAACCAATTTTGAGTCACCATAAACTTCAATCTCCGTAATATTCATTTCTAAAGCCATTTCAAGACCAATGATCAAAGCTTGATACTCGGCCACATTATTGGAGCAGAGCTCGTCCAGTACCACTGAGTATGTCAAAACTTGTTTCTCGGGTGACACAAAAACAACTCCTGCCCCCGATCCATCGGACCGTGCGGCCCAATCAAAGAACATTTCCCATGCCGGAATAGTGCCAAGCAAATTTTCTCCACCGGGGAGTATCTCAATTCATTCTCTTTCACCATAAGAGCACCGACGGACCTTTCTTGAGCTGCTATGTATAATACGAGTGGCTTTTTCGGTATAGGAGCCCCTAAGGCGGGCGGATTTAATAAGTACTTCTTTATGTTTTCAAAAGCATTTTGACATCCTTCGTCCCATTCAAAAGGTGTGTCTTTCTTCATGAGATGTTGAATGGTTGACATCTCCCAGCGAGATTTGATATAAACCTTCTTATGAATGCGAGATTTCCTTGTAAACTTCTAAACCCTTTCAAATTTCTAGGCGCAGGCATCTTTTGAATGGCATCTATCTTAGAGGGGTCAACCTCTATACCACGATGACGGACTATGAAGCCAAGAAACTTACCGGAAGAGACGCCAAAAGTACACTTAAGAGGATTCATCTTTAAGTTGTATTTTCTCAAGCGTTCGAACACAATCCGAAGGTCCCTCAAATGGTCATCTCTTTTCTTTGTTTTGACAACGAGGACATCGACATAACACTCCACTCTTTTGTGCAGCATGTCGTCAAAGATGTTTTGCATGGCACGCTGGTACGGAGCGCCTGCATTCTTTAGTCCAAACGGCATTACTTTGTAGCAGTAAATTCCCTTTGGCGTGTGAAATGCCGTGTATTCTTCATCTTCCGGAGCCATTCTAATTTGATTGTAGCCGGAAGAGCCATCCATAAAAGATAATGCTTCATGTCCGGTTCTCGCATCAACCATGAGCTCGATGCTAGGTAACGGGAAATCATCCTTAGGACAAGCCTTGTTCAAGTCCCGGAAATCAGCGCAAATGCGTATTTGACCATTCTTCTTCTTGAGTGGCACAATGCTAGAGATCCAAGTTGGATATTTGACCTCCCTGATGAATCCAACATCTATGAGCTTGTTGACTTCGGTTTCAATTCGAGGAATTAACTCGGAACGAAGTACACGTTGCGATTGTTTTACGGGGCGCGCTCCATTTCTTATACCAAGGTGATGGATTGCGATTTTGGGATCCAGCCCGGGCATTTCTTTGTATGTCCACGCAAACACATCTTTGTATTCGCCTAATATCTCAAGATATTGTTCCTCCTCTTTAGGACTTAAAATTGCCCTCACGAATATTGGGCGGGGGTCATTTAATGTGCCTAGGTTCAGTTCCTTTAACTTATCAACAGTAGCTTGCCCTCCATCCTCCAGTTCCACAGGGGCCTCTTGTATTTCATCTTCTGAAACTTCCTCTTGATCATCAACAATACTTGCATAATGACTGCTGACGACAATTTCGACTTCGTCTTCGCTTCCATTTCCGTTCTCTTTAGAGGCATGATGGCTAGTAACATGTTGTTTCACCTTCACTGATCCATTCATGGAAATAACTAAGAGCGGTTGGTCCCTTTGGCGTGATCGAAGCATTTGACGAGCTTGAGCTTCATCCGTTGATTCAAACACATCTATCTCATCCTCTCGCACTCTTTTTCCGTCTTGGTTCCTATTGTGATTTCCCAGTCGTGAGAACACTGAACGAGTATCTGTAGAAAGTCTACCGTGAACACTCGAGACATTATTAGAAGGACCAAGGCTTTCAAAGACCGAGGGTCGCGCAACATGAATGTCAAGTCTTTCAAAGACAGAAGATTGGGTGGTAGGAGCCTCAATTCGATCAAAAATAGAAATGCGACCGCTAGTTTTCTTTTGATTTCCAACACCCTTTATGGTGATATGATGGACATTGGCGCACTCTCCTTTCCTTGAAATGCGTATTCTAACTGGCTCGATGGGTGTGAATCCCAAACCGACTCTGGGTTGATTAACGCGAAAACCTTGTGTTCTTAATGTACTTTGCATTTCATTTAACCCATGAATCTTTTTGCCCGTCAACTCAGGTTTTAGTTTGCCTAGCCGAGATGGATTAGAGAAGTTGTAACCAGACTTAGCTCATAAATTATATGACTTTGGATCATATGCCTCCCTAGGCCATTGAGACTGGGGTACAACATCATGTGTCTGCTCATGCGCCAATGGACTTAAGCCGATAATAGGCATGATTAAGTCTTCCCTAATAAGGTGGCAATGGCTTGGCTCTTGCTCCTTCGGTCGTTCTTGTCCATCCTCTAATAATGTGGTGCACTCACTGAACAAAATTTGGCTTCCTCGGCGTGACCGGGGAGCGCAACGAAACACTGGCAAACTCAACTTCCTCACAGCTCCGTCATGTTTGCTCATCGGAGATTCAACCGAAGTGGCCACCTTCTTTTCCTCTGTGCAACCGATCTTCGTCGGTACGAGTTCCAAATGACTTCCATTAATAGGCTGGCATATCGGCATCTTTGAAATCACCGTTTCGCACTTCAGGTTTGACTCTAGATACAATTTGGCATCCGCAAAGTGTGATTCTGCCTCGGTAAAGGGCTTCGCATTAGCATAGACCTTCATCATTTCTCCATTCCTCAGGTATTTGAAGCATTGATGAAGGGTAGATGGGACAATTCCATTTTCGTGAAGCCATGGCCTTCCTAATAATAAGTGATAAGAGGTTCTTGCATCAATCACATGGAATAGCTCTTTGGCCTTCTTGTGAGGTCTAAACGAACCATCCCAATAGCTCTTTGGCCTTCTTGGTTAAATCCTTGAATAGTAAGGCAGCTGCGAGACAAATCTTCGGTAGCAATCCCCAACTGTCTCATGGTGGATTTTGGTAAGATATTGACAGCTGACCCTCCATCTACGAGAATACGATTAATTTTTTGCTCGTGTATGAATCCCGAAACAAAGAGCGGACGATTGTGAGGTTTAGATCCCAACAACAAGTCATCGTCCGTGAAAGTCATAGCAGCACAACAAGGAATATAATGTTGATTGTCGCTCTCATCCGATAAACGTATGCTCTTTCAACTTTTTGCAGGAAAAACTCTTTCGGAAAGAACTCTTTCAAAGTCACGTGCTTGGGAACCGAACTTCCGTAAGATTTTCTTGAAGCATCATCACTCACCTTTGAGTCTTTGTTCGATTTGGCATGGTGAATGTATTTTATTGGCTGTGGGTTTCGTGATGGCATTACTTGAAGTTTTTCAACACGTCCCCTCTGTCTCTGCCGACGTGTCACTAGAATCCATTCTCCATCATCCTCAATAGCAGAAATGGGGTTTTCATCGTGTATGACTTCCTCCTCGTGAAATAAAGCCCTTACCAATTTTGGTTCCAAACTCCCAAATTGAAATACAGACACTTTCTTCATAGGTGCGGGCGGGCATTTTTGGGTGTTCCATGCGGGACATGTGTCGCTTGAGAGTGGAGTGACACTTGTAACATTCGAGTTGGCAACATCTTCAGTATCTAGTATTATTTTGCCATCTCTCGCGAGTCTCATGATCTTCTCTTTGACCACGAAGCATTTTTCTATGGGATGGCCGACAACTCGATGGAATTTGCAATACTTTGGGCCATCCATCATTCCTACTTCTTCGTGCCGTTTCGGTTTCGGCAAGTCAATCAATTTCCTTGCCAGCAGCTCATCAAATATATGGGAGACGTCCGATTCCAGAAAAGGGTATTCTTTCTCTTGCATTTCCTTCAACGTGGGTCGACGTCTGTCGTTTGATATTTGATGTTCACCGGTTTTGTCATCTTCGTTCTTCGAATGAATTTTCAAACCCACTGCTTTTATGGCCATTGACTCCTTGGTAGAAGTTTTAGAGAATTTTTCGTTTCTCTTAAAATCCTTTCTTTCCCCTTTTTGACCATCTAGTGGGAGTGCACTCTTATAGTTCGCGATACTCAACTCCATATCATGGGCACGCGTAGCCAATTCTTCAAAATTTCGAGGCTTAATCCCTTGTAAGATGTAGAGAAGCCCCCAATGAATCCCTTGGATACACATCTCAATTGCCGACACTTCCGATAGCTTATCCTTGCAATTTAGACTTAGTGCACGCCAACGGTTGATGTAATCCACAATTGGTTCATCTTTCCACTGCTTCGCATTGGTAAGCTCGATCATACTTACAGTACGACGCGTGCTGTAGAAGCGATTCAAGAATTCATGTTCCATCTCTTCCCAACTGTTGATGGACTCGGGTTCCAAATCGACATACCAATCGAAAGCATTTCCCTTGAGTGATCTTACGAATTGTTTCACCAAGAGATCGCCGTTAGTCCCCGCATTGTTGCAAGTTTCAATGAAATGAGCAATATGTTGTTTGGGGTTCGCCTTACCGTCGAATTGTTGAAGTTTTGGGGGTTGGTATCCCGCTGGCATCCTCAATGCATCGATCCGCTTAATGTATGGCTTTGAGTATATGGGTGAGACTTGAGATGGTCCGCCATATTGCGCTTTGATGGTATTGGCAATCATCTCTTGCAATTGCTGAACAGATAGCGTGGCAACAGACATCGAAGAATGAGTGGCGCCTTACACAAAGTCCGGCTTGGACTGTGTTTCTTCCACTTGCTTTGCTTTCTCGTCACGAAGCGGATAAGATTCGTGCTTCGGGCTAAACTCCCCAACTTCTGACTGTTCCAACTTATCCATTAATTGAGCGATTTTCATGTCTTTGTCTTCGACTATTTTTTGAACATTAGCCATTGTTTGGGTCAAGTGCGCCAATTGCTCATCCACGGAAGTCGCATCAACCACCATAACCGGCAATGTGTTGAAGGCTTGAGATTTGGAGTCGATCTCTTCCGAGCCTGAAGAGCTTGAGCCATTTTTCGTAGTTGTATTATCAATCTTGCCCCCGATGGATGATAAACCAACAACGGTGGCAATCTCGGCATCCTTTTGGATCAAAGAGTTTTGGTTCTTCTTTGGAGCCATTGGATCGTTGAACACGAGAATATGCGCTTCAAAGTAGGAGAGGAGATGAGAGGCAAAGTGGTCCCACTGGACGTGCCAATTTGTTAACCTCAAATTTAAATGTCTGCAAAATAAATTACAAGACAAGAAAAAATAGGAACAAATAAATATATTTTAATCAAAACGAAATGGGTTACAATATTTTTTGATTCCTCTGATTCTTCTCCTAGATTTAATCCAAGGGCCGAAGCTTGTTCTTGAATTGAGAGCTTGATTCCTCCGTTGATTTGCGGAAGTAGATATGAATATCTAGAAATTGATTTGGGGATTTCTAGGTCTTGTGGATATGGTGCCTTGATGAAGATGTAGAAACTCCGCGGTTGTTGTTCTTCGTCGTGGCAAGAGCTCGAGACTTGAGAGCTTTTGAGTGCTTGATGTACGCCTTGCTTGATGCTTGTGTCCTTGTCTCCTCGTATCTCTGTTTGTGTGTGTTTGATACCTCCTTTTATAGGCTCGATTTAGGGTTTCTTGACTTGAGACTTGGGCCGGTGGACTTGGATACTTGCAAATTCATGTGGGCTAGCTTTTATAAGCCCGAATGACTAACCCGAATAAATAAGAATTTAGTGCTTATTATAACACATTTGTGAAGCCCAAATATAGTGTGGACTTCAACATAAAACCCAAATTCATCACGGGCTTTGATTTGAAATCCAAATTAATATCCGATTTATTTGGATTATTAATTTGTAATTTAATCTAAAAAAATTGATATAAGCCCAAATTTATGGACTTTTAATCGAGATCCGAATTAATAACTAATTTATTTAAGGCTATTAATACGTAATTTAATCTCAATTTTGATGTCAACATATATATATGTTTGAGTTATTGTTGTTTTATTACTAGTTAATTATCACATGAATTCACAATTATGTGGGGCCTCACAATTCAACTTCATTTAGATTTAGAAGCTAAAATAAATAAGGATTTTGAAGCAAACTAATAACTCAACTTAGACTTAAAACAAGGGTCTCGAGTTAAATACTGAATGAGTAAAACCTTGACTTGTTAATGTTTAAATTATAATTGATTAGAAACTTATCGAATTAAAAATTTAATTTGTATCCTTGATGTGACACATTAATTAAAAACCTTTCACCCTCATAAACCATAAACTTTAAAATCTGAAAATTTCCCAAATAAGCCTTAGATCCCAAACTGGAAATTCAAATTGAATTTCACTTTATTGACAAACAAATCTCAAATAATTGAACTAAAAAATAGTTCAGCTATTAATTCTAGGGCTGGGCATTTAGAATCGGGATTCGGGATCCCGTCCCGTCCCGATCGGAATTGTACTATTTGAGACTAAAACTTTGGGAATTCGGGATTACGGGATTCGGGATCGGGATTAGGAACAAATACGGGACCGGAATTCGAGAATTGGTTCAATCCCGATCGGGATATTTTAATCCCGAATTAGGAAAAAAAGAAAAAAAAAAACTAATAAACGCGCGCACACACACACATGGATGCCATTCGATGTTCCATGGAGGTCATGTACCTCGCGATGTACATTTATTTTGCTCCTCCCGGTCATAGAGTAAGTATTGATAATTATAATAAGACATTTTTTTTCTTTCAAGAATACGTAATTGTTGTTCCCGGTATATAAACGGGTAGTGAATTTAGTAAAAATGTCGAACAAATTAATTAGTGAAAATACGAAAAGATTAGCCGAGGCGAGAAAACTCTTTCCTTAAGACAATATTGTCCGGCTACGGTGCTTACAGTTATTTGGCATTGGTCTCCCAATATACAACGGCTAACTCGGCATATGAGCACTCAAAATCCCGAGTATAACGAACGTTTCTTTGTGTCTCAAACTCTCGAATCGAATACGGAATAAAATATTCTACAAAGAATATTTCCGGTATAAAGAAAGAAGAATTCCATAGAACAAAATTATGGAATTGAATTGATTTTTTATGTTGCTATCAAATCAAACATGTGGAGTTTCTATTTATAAGTTTCCTATGGTTGTGATTAATGAACACAACCCTTAGGAAATTAAACAAGTGAAGAGGTGTGGCCACACCTCTTCATATTGTCACACCTATTGATCAAATAGGTGCCTAAAAATATTTTTAAATTTTCATTTAAAATAATTTTATTCTAATAAATAAAATTTCCAACAGTAATTAATAAGTACAATTTTTATTTCCAGATTCGAGCAGTTACTATTGTTTGTATTGTGGGAGCTTGCCCAGCCACTGGTGTGATTGGACCACTCATATGGAACGGAGGCTACGATGGTCCTTCTGCAGCCGAGCACATATACTGGATCTACGATAGTAAATTTTTATTATTATTTAATTATTGTTTAATTAAATTTTATTTAATCTTTTTACTAACATATTGTTTTTTTTATACAGTCCGAGTTGATCGCAACACGGAATCCATATTTATTTCTGTTGTTGTTGACAGTTTTCCAGACATTGGACGGGATTGCATCTGTCGTAAATGCAAAAGTTTCACACAAGCGCAAGTTTTTGGTAATTAAATATAAATAAGAATAATAAAATTAATTTCAATACTTTTTGATATATGTTAATTTGTCATTTTAATTTGCAGATCCATATTCGGGTGGAGTTAGCATTGGACTGCTTCAGCTGGCCATCTTCGCATACTATTACATCCGGCAGCATTATGTACCCCAGCCGGAGGAGGATGCAAACGTCGAGCTAGAGGAGCTTACATCCCTGCTGGATGAGGGAGATTTGGAGCTGCAGCAGCTTCCACCTTCACCGACAGAGCAGTGGTCTCTGCCTCGAGCCATGCCAGCAGACCATTTACCAGTCGAGCCATTGGCTCCACCTATGGCTCCTCCGGAGCCCGAGCCAGTGGCTCCTCCGGTGCCCAAGCCAGTGACTCTCCCGATGCCAGATCACCTGTTGTATGAGAAGCTCGAACTCGAGCTCCCACTCGCGATGCCAGAGCACCATGTGATCTATCAGGAGCTCGAGCTAGAGCCAGAGGCGGAGTGTAGGACCGGGCACTCAGTCCTTTTTATGTTTGACGGGGATCTCTTTCATTAGGTGGTGTTATTTTTATTTTGTTTGATTGAATGTTAAGTGTTGATTAATAGTGGGAAGTTGTATATAATTTAGGAATGGCATTAATCACAAAGATTACAAGTCTTGCATTTATCAAACATAAAATTGTCATACATAATCTCCATTGATAATCCAAGGGGACTCAAGAGAGAGAGAGAGAGAGAGAGAGAGAGAGAGAGAGAGAGAGAGAGAGACGTCTCAGGCGAGTAAACATCAATTAAAATTGTTATTTTGCATGGGTTTGGTACAAGTGAACAACTGATATTCTTTTGAACGAAAAATAAGTACGTATTTGCACGAATAATCACATAATATGCACAACATTTGCACTTGATTTGCACGTGAATTTGGTTGGAGAAAATTGAAGACCATATTTCAAACAAAACAGTTTTTAATTAATATAATTTTAGTTCATAATCCTAAATAATTAGGAGAGACTACTATACCACGTTTGTTGAAACATAATATAATATTTAGGGATCCCAGTCTGGAAATAAAAACGTTCAAACAGGATTGGGATTTAAAATTCCTATCCCAAATCCCAAAATCCCGAAATAATGATATCTTGTCTCGAACTCACCCCTATTAAAAATTTTAGTGAGTTTATTTCTATGTTCATGAAAATTAAACTGGGATTGATCATTTATATAGTTTAAAAGTTTAATTTTATAAATAGGAGATGTTTTGGATATTCCTAATGGGAAGGTGCAAATTAGTGAAGCCCAAATATAGTGTGGACTTCAACATCAAAACCTAAATTCATCATGGGCTTTGATTTGAAATCCAAAATAATAACCGATTTATTTGGATTATTAATTTGTAATTTAATCTAAAAAATTTGATATAAGCCCAAATTTATGGACTTTTAATCGAGATCCGAATTAATAACCAATTTATTTAAGGCTATTAATTCGTAATTTAATCTCAATTTTGATGTCAACATATATGTTTGAGTTATTGTTGTTTTATTACTAGTTAATTATCACATGAATTCACAATTATGTGGGGACTCACAATTCAACTTCATTTAGATTTAGAAGCTAAAATAAATAAGGATTTTGAAGCAAACTAATAACTCAACTTAGACTTAAAACAAGGGTCTCGAGTTAAATACCGAATGAGTAAAACCTTGACTTGTTAATGTTTAAATTATAATTGATTAGAAACTTATCGAATGAAAAAAATAATTTGTATCCTTGATGTGACACATTAATTCAAAATCTTTCACCCTAATAAGACATAAACTTTAAAATCTGAAAATTTCCCAAATAAGCCTTAGATCCCAAACTGGAAATTCAAATTGAATTTCACTTTATTGACAAACAAATCTCAAAAAATTGAACTAAAAAATAGTTCAGCTATTAATTCTAGGGCTGGGCATTTAGAATCGGGATTCAGGATCCCGTCCCGTCCCGATCGGAATCGTACCATTTGAGACTAAAACTTTGGGAATTCGGGATTTCGGGATTCGGGATCGGG